TCCTCAATTTCCTCATCAATTAGGATAAATTGGAGTTGGATCCTCTCCTCCGTTACTTCGACAGTGAAATTAAGGCTCTCATCACGATCGGGTAATATTTAGACGGTTGTGATTTGTTTTTAAAATAACATTATTAGCTATTAATTGATACTTTCATATGAACTTCTGTTTTGCTCTCATTTCGTTGCTGACTCCTGGAAATGATAATGGTCTACTACATGCTAGATACTTAATTATGATTCAGGTCTCTTGTCAATCTAATTACTTCAGAATTTGAAGATTCGAACCCTAATATATAGCGGGTGAACACAAAATTTATCATTCATTCATTGAGAGGATTAAGTCCGATAGGATGATTAATTGTTCAGAGATTTCAATTGTTATCTCTATGGTCTAGAAAATCCGACACGTGGACGGGCAGGATACTCTATTAAGAGCTATAGTTTATATGGCAGTGAATATTGATAGTCATTCACAAAGTTGACCATCGATCCCCTTGTTCCACTCTAGGAATTCTTTTTTTTTTCTCTCTCTCCTGAAAGAAACTATCAGAGTTTTTCTTCCCTATAAAAAGCAAGAGAAAGTAGCGTCCAAGCCAGGTTGAGGAATTAGGACATCATTCTCAATGGCTCATGCTTTCAATCTGCATATATTTCACACCCAAAAAAGGATATGTTTTTAAATTTGTATAACTCTGATCTAGCATTAGATTGCATTGCATTACATCAGGAATTAGGACATCACCGTCAAGGGTTAAATATAGATGGCATAAAAGGCCTTATGACCGCCTTTAACCTTCATTTTCAATCCCAAAAAAAAAAAACACCTCTAAATTTGACGTGATTCTATCGAGAATTTTGGTTACACTAAGCTATTACATCATAATCTTTATGCAGTTTAGGGTTAATTTTTCCTTTTTGAATGTGTTTAGTACCGTCTAAAGCAATTTACTCAAAGCCTTCTCACATGCTTGAAATGTTAATTAGACCGGTGGTTATATATCACCAGCACTATTCTTATTTTTTGAGCTTGATACATTTTTCTTGGGAAAAGGAAAGAAAAACAGAAGGAGAAGTGTACAAGTTATACCTCACGGTTAACTAATTAATTACCATTTATATTGGAAAAAATATGACATGTAAGATATCTTTTATGTATCAAGTTTGACTAGCTGTTAGGAAAATCTTATTGAAATGACGGAATCTTAGGTGTTGTTTGATGACAGGTTAAGTGAGTGGTTAGGAGAGTTAACCCCTTGCTAATCAGCCAAACACAAAATATTACAATGAGTATAAATTGAATTTACGCGTCTTGCCCAATGCAAAACTAGAAGGGGGTTAAAAATAACCCCTCTAGATAGGTTAAATGAGTTAAAATGAGTAGTTTAGTAATCAACCTTTTAGACTATGGGTTACGAGATAATCCTCTATTTAAGAGCCATGGTCTTCATTACTTTTAAACACTAAAAAATCATAATTATTAAAGTATT